GTGATATATTGCCAACTCTAGTACCATAAAGCATATTCAATCTGTATGCTGAACATTGGTTATTACTTATTAAAATTAATACATTGGAAGATTATAATATATTAGTTGTAACTCATTAGCTAACTCATGAAACGAATAGCCAGAATTGGTTGTCAGGCAGAATGTTAATTGCATTTAATAAATGTTAGCTTAACCCTTTGACTATTGCTAAATGTGCCACATACTTGGGTAAAGGCAATCATATGTTGCATATGATACGGCATATAGTTCTTAATTTCCCAAGGGTGATGTTTCCTATGGAGATTGGCAGGCTGGCTTTTGTTCTTTTATTAGCACAGCTGCTAGAATTTCTAGTGATCTTATTATTCTATTTTTTTGCCATAGTATTTCTACTTTGAAAAGGGAAGGTCGAAAATGAATTATGACCCTTAAGTTGCCCTTTAACCTTGAATGTTAGCCCCAGTGTGCAATTGAAAACACTTTCCATGTTTAACAGTTGGATGAATCCAGTCAATTTTATTTCAATGATGCTGTGGTAGAAGACAGCAGAGAGACCAATAATATGCATTTTACATATCAATAATTGACTTTTATTTTTCTCTGTTTTTTTTTTTCTTTTGTTTGTTTTTATTTTTTTTGCATGGGTGATACTTGTACGAGGGCAAGAGGTTTTTTTGTTTTGTTTTGTTTTGTTTTCTTTTCCAACTTGAACTAAAACCTGTATTTTTTCATTAAATTTTAGTCCATTCTAAACATTATTCAAAATTTTTAGATCTTCCACCACCACCAGATCCCCCACCAGGTCAGGGTTTAAGGCAGCAAATAGGCCCGAGCCAGCATGCTGGTCATGTGGAAAACTCAACAGAGAGAAAAGGAAGCTCTCTAGAGAGACAACATGCCTCCAGCTTAGAAGACACAAAGAGCTCCTTGGATTGTCCAGCCAAAACCTCCCTAGAGTGGCAACGACAAACCCAGGAATGGATAAGCTCCACAGAACGCCAAGAAGACACACGGAAAGCCCCACACAAACAAGGGGTTGGATCAGGTGTGTTCTGCACAGTCCCAAGCAAGTGTGGGCTGTGACCCTTTTATTTTCTACCAGGTATTCCAGAAATGGCAGTTGTTTAAGGGCATCCGAGAAATATTTGCCTTAAGTCAGTAAGTGAAGTTGGAATTTCTCAGCAGAGCTCACAGGCATGTTCCTTGAGACTGATTACAGTGGTGATTGCTCCTCAAATTAACCTCTCCATAGGTCTTTGAATCCAAGAGGTCTCCAGCCTTCATCTACGGTCTCAGGAGACAATTTTGGCTTTTTTGCCTTTTACTGTTTCTATTGAGTAGCTTTAAGACCACTAAATTCCAGCTTTTTTGTCAGTTTAATCTCTACCTTCAAGGAGATTGTCATTTTGACAGAAG